ACAAATTTTACCACCATAGCGTTGCGTCAAAGAAAAGGCACAAAGGAATACATGAGTTAAATTTGTACAACATTTAAAAACAGGAAAAATTAAATAGTATTTTCAGTGGTACATACATTGGTGATAGACTATAAAGAAAACTGAAAGAATAACTACCATAAAAGGTAGGGTAATGGTTATCCTTAAAGGTGAGTAAGGGGGAATGCATTCAAAGACAGCCATGAAGCTGGTAGATTATGACAATAGTCTTTATTCTCATTTTGAGTAATGGTAATATGTATGTTCACTTTATTATTATTCTCTAAAAGTCATACATATTTTAAATACTTTCCTGTATATATTTTGCAATTTTTACTGAGAAAAGAAAAGTATCCAGCCCACCAAAGTCTTCCCAAGCATCTCATCAGATGCAAGGCATCTGTTCTATCCACCTTCTTCTTCACACATGGAGTCAAACTGTTCAATCTAATATAGAAGAAGAAACAACACCAAAAATAATCAATGCATAATTCTTTGGATAGTGCATGATGGTTTAAAGAAAGATAATAGGAGAAGACTCAAATCCCCCCTACTCCAAATTTTCTCTGCATCCCATAAATTTTTCAGATTTGTGGCACACAAGGTATTTTGAGAAAGATTGCTCCCTCTTAGTAAAAAGGTTCTTAGGGCTCATTCACTCCATTGTATGTTTCTTCAAGGGTCTAGGAAAGATCTCCAGGAGTTCAGAGATCTGCCTGCCCCAGAGGTAATTCTGGCATCTTAGACATCTTCTGTCAGGTTAAATTTATTGATAGCTTCAACCAGAAAGGATAAGCCAAAATGTTTTTCACTTCCAATATACATGAGTAAAAGCCATAGATGCTATCTTATTTAGGATTCTGAACTGCAAGCAACAGAAGCTATCTCTGCTTCATAAAACAGAAAAGGAGTTTATGAAAACAATATTGGGGATCTTAAAGAATCGTTGGGAGGAATGGAAAGCCACACCCAAGCTAATCTTCCGGGAACAATGTCCGAAACCCTGCAGCAGAGCTGGCCTGGTGAGTAACCAGGGCCACTGCCAACTATCAATGTCACTCCAAGGACAGACACTGGTAACCGTGGTCACACCAAAAGCTGGAGGCCTCTGCTGTCACCATAGTGGAATGAATCCCCTTGGCACTTCCTTTTCCAGTTGCTCACTTTCAAATTGAGGTCTCACATTTAATGTGTCTGGTAGAACTTAGGTCACATTGTACATACACTGGCTATAAGGGAAGCCGAGGATGAATGTTCAAGGTTCTAACAATGCACTAGGCAACCAGATATTATTAACAATGTCTACCTCGAGGTAGGCATCCATGCTCTTTTGCTTCAAGAACTTTCTGGCCGCTCTAACTTAAGGAACAACAAAAATTTCGGTCCTGCCCCATTCTAGGTTGTGACTGATGAGATTTTTAACTCTCCAGACGTTGCATGAAATTTCACCATCTGCTTTGCTCGTTTGTCCCTTGTGGGCAATAAATTTCACAAAGTCCTCATGATTCAGAGGAGCCAGAGGTGGTGCCTTAGATCTGAGTCTCCATGCACATTTTTTTTTAAATATAGCCTTTTTTTAAAAAAATATATTTTATTGATTTTTTACAGAGAGGAAGGGAGAGAGATAGAGAGTTAGAAACATCGATGAGAGAGAAACATCGACCAGCTGCTTCCTGCACATCTCCCACTGGGGATGTGCCCGCAACCAAGTTACATGCCCTTGCCCAGAATCGAACCTGCGACCTTTCAGTCCACAGGCCGACACTCTATCCACTGAGCCAAACCGGTTTCGGCTCCATGCACATTTTATATCCATTTGCATACCACTAGAAGAGGTTGAGTAACCAGGAAGTCCAATTCCACCCTTTTGACAGAAATGGTTGGCACACAAGACCCTTGCAGTGGTAAAAATGTACCTTTAGGTCATTCAAAACTCCCAGAGTCTCAAGGTGAGGCTGGTGGAGAACAATCACAGGCTGGATTGGATGCCAACTTTATGGCTAGTGGCCATACTGCTCTCTTACAAGCTGTTGCTTTGTGAAGCTATCCTGAAAGGATTTCTGGAGGGATTTAAGACTGTGAAAGTCAGGCTCCTTTTTGTTCTATTCTAATTAGCAATTTTGAGACATGTGCTTTCTACACCAGGACCTTCAGCCCCAGAGGACATAATCTCTGCATATTAAAAATATATTTTTACATAGAAACTGAAGATACCTGGTGGGAGTGAAGGGGGAAGTTGCCCTTAAAAGAGAGAGAAAACTGCTGGGATTGTTTCTCACTTAAAACAATTTAAAGCAATTTTCCTCATTTTTTGTATATTATTATTGTCATTATAATTATTACTTTTTTACCTTAGACACTGAAGTCCAAAGGTTATCATCAACCCAAGTTTTTTGAGAGAATATATGATACCTTGCTGCTCATTTTTCTAAGAAAATCTCTCCTTTCCCTTTTTTAAAACATTGAGATGGACTGTCAATATTTATTGGAAGTCACGGAGAACTAGAGGGCTTTGTTTAAAACATTGGAACTCCTCTCTTAGTTCCTAAAAAAAAAAAAAACACATATATTGAGCCCTTCAGGTTCCAGACAGAAATGAGAATATATGTCACCTAAAAAGATCATCCAAGAAATAGGACTTGGGAGGATATAAAAGCTCCTGCTCTGGGAACTTTTAAGAGAGGGCAGCTACCAAATGAGCCAATAAATTGATAAGGGGAACATGAAGAGTCCAAAAATATATTGTATAATAAATGGGGACTTATTAAGTGATAAAGCCATCATTCCAATTCACTGGGAAAGGACAAATCTTTTAGTTAATTCAGTTGGCCCAACTACCTATTCATCTGGAAGAAATAAGGGTAGACTCCCCTCTTCGCACCATATGGAAACAAAAATAAACATATAGATTAAAGATTAGTATTTTTATTATAAAAATATAAGAATGAAGTATAGGAGATTATCTGCATAATTTAAGGGTGGGCGAAAAACATCTTCTGTAACACCAAAACTAGACATCACAAAAGAAGTTGACAGATGTACATCAAAATAAAAAACTGTGTAGCAAGGATTCTATAAATAAAATGTATGTTAGACTTGGAGAAATTATTTGCCACCCATATGGTTACTATCCCTGATATATTAAAAGCTGTAAAATATCATTAAGTAAAATATAAAAATGAGCAAAAAATAGCAATGCAGTGATTGAAAGTATGAAAAAAAATGCTCAATATCCCTCTAACTTAGGAAATTAAAACAATGAGATGCAATTTTTAAAAAGAAAAAAAGCAAGTTTTGATTTTATTTGTTTGGGTTTTGTTTTACTATGTTTATAGTATGATTTTTTTAAAAAAGAAAGGTAGGAAAGAAGGAAAGCCCTATGTATTTGTGTGTGTGTACAGGGGGAGGGTTGTTTTTGGAGGATACACACCAAAATGTTAATTACCTCAGGGTCAGGGGAAGATACTAAACCAAAAAGAAAGAAAGAAAGAAAGAAAGGAAGGAAGGAAGGAAGGAAGGAAGGAAGGAAGGAAGGAAGGAAGGAAGGAAGGAAGGAAGGAAGGAAGGGAAAGAAAGAAACAGAAAAAAGAACCAGAAAGAAAGAAACAGAAAGAAAGAAAGAAAGAAAGAAAGAAAGAAAGAAAGAAAGAAAGAAAGAAAGAAAGAAAGAAAGAAACTTAATTTTTCTCAATACATCTTTGTATTGTTTAACTTCTTCTAATGAGAATTTATTTCCTTTTTAATTAAAAAAAATCCAATAATAAAGCACTTCCTAAAAAGTAAATGGGTTATTGACTATTATGATGAATTAGGACAAAGAGTTGAGCCAATTGATTGACTGTTATGTCATTCATTGAGATAAAGATATTGTCATTGACAATAAGATATTTTCACATGGCCCTAACTGGTTTGGCTCAGTGGATAGAGCATCGGCCTGCGAACTGAAGGGTCCCAGGTTTGATTCCAGTCAAGGGCATGTACCTTGGTTGCGGGCACATCCCCAATAGGGGATGTGCAGGAGGCAGCTGATTGATGTTTCTCTCTCATAGATGTTTCTAACTCTCTATCCCTCTCCCTTCCTTTCTGTAAAAAAATTAAATAAAATGTATTAAAAAAAGATATTTTCACATGATTAATTCTTGTTTATCTACATATCAGTCTACAACTAATGTTCAAGAAATATTACTTTCTTTCAAATCAAAGTTATTTAGACTCTGAGTTCTTCCATCACATGAGGGTGTTGGGACATTCTATTTCTATCATGATTGGGCCCTGTCCAAGGCCCCACCAGACATCTGGGAAATGATAAGGCTGCAAGTGCTGTAACTAAGTGTGGGAAAAGAGGGCTGGACTGGAGACAGAAGATGTGGGTGGAGGCCAGTCTTTTACCTTCCAAATGATCCTGGTAGATTGATACAACTCTCTGTGCCTTAATGACCTCATCTATAATAATAAAAGTGTAATATGGTAATTAGACCAGACAGCTGAACAACCTTCTGGACATCATTCTGGACGTCCTTCCGGACGAAGCTGCGGCAGCGGGGGCCAAGGCAGAGGTGGTTAGGGGCAATCAGGAAGGCAGGCGAGTAGTTAGGGGTGACCAGGCAGGCAGGCAGAGGCAGTTAGGGGTGATCAGGCAGGCAGGCGATCAGGCAGGTGAGCAGTTAGGGGCGATTAGGCAGGCAGGTAAGCAGTTGGGGGCGATCAGGCAGGCAGGCGAGCACTTAGGGGTGATCAGGCAGGCAGGCAGAGTGGTTAGGGGCCATCAGGCAGGCAGGCAGGCGAGCGGTTAGGAACCAGAGGTCCCAGATTGCGAGAGGGATGTCTGACTGCCAGTTTAGGGGATCAGGCCTAAACCAGTAGTCGGACATCCCCTGAGGGGTCGCAGATTGTGAGAGGGTGCAGGTCAGGCTGAGGGACCTCCACCCTCCTGTGCATGAATTTCGTGCACTGGGCCTCTAGTCTATAAAATAAGATTGGTATCATTTGGCCTGCATAGGTCACAGAGGTGTCATGGCATTATGGTGTTGAATCCTGTTAAAATGACCCATTCTGAAACTCCTGGTGATCTAGGACTTGGCTGAATGACTGCCAAGTAGACTATGAAGATAGTCAAGTCTTTGAGAGGATAATGTGTTTACAATTAAGAGATCTTAGAGAATGGGGCAGAGATGACAAGGGTGATCTGGAATTCAGGTCTCAGAAAGTTAAATCAGCAGAAGGCTCCACAGACTTTCCTTGGTCCTAAGAACTCTCAATATCTAGGTCTAGTGCTTCTTCCAACAACACAGTTGCATAGAATAGTTTATTCTCAAAAAAATTAAAATTAAAATTATCTTGTTTTTTCTTTTTTTTTTTGCTTATCACACAGAAATTCTTACAGAATGACTAAAGAAATCATTTAAAATTTCTTGGATAGCTCTTTAGAGAGATGATGATTATCCAAATCTTTCTCCAAAAAGTCTTTGAAAACAAGGAGGTGATTTATGAAATGTTCAATGAATGTCTGCAATATCAACAATTGTGTTATAGCCACAAATTAGTACCATTTTTTCTGGGCTCAATGAGCATTCTCTGAACTAAGGGTACCCTGTACTTACAGTATTTGAATAGAGCTTTGTCCACTCTATAGAATTAATGCCTGGGAAGAGTTAAATTGTGTTCAGGGAATGAGAACCCTGGTTTTATCCTAAACTGGTCAACCATTAGCTATGGACATTGAACCAGGTACTCTGCCTAGGTCTTTGTTTAACCCTCATGGTCAATAAGGCACTCCTACCACCTAGGATTTAGATCACTATTTTCTATTATAACATGATAACAGAAGGTGCCAGCTAGTGGATGTTTGCTTTTTAATTGATTGTCTGGATGTTTTGTCACTTGGTGTTTCTGGGCAGCTTGTAATTTTTACGTATCATAGTGTAGTGTAAGCTCTGACAGTTATTGTTTTCTTTTTTATGCTAGTGCCTGACATAAGATTTGATTGCTGAGGCATCCACTTAAAAGATTGCTGTCTCCAATGAACACATTGCCAGTCGTAGTGCTGGGTAAAGAGCCAGGCCACCTCTCCGCACTGAGGTGGTTTTGCTTTAGAGATCTTGGTTAATTTCAATCACTGATCATTTGTACTACTCGTTTCTTTTTTCTCTTTTCGCACCTTGAATTCCCACTCTTATGTTTTAAATTCACCACTAAACAGTGAGCTCTAGAAATCCTAGGCCCCCACCCATAATCTAGCTGTGTGGTCCCAGGTATGTTTTGTAATTTCCAGGTGCAATAAGGAATAAGCCTTCATTTTTTTCAAAGTTTCCTGATGGTTATTGAAAAAGTCATTTTAAAATCATAATAAGAACCACAAGGGTTGGTCCAGTCATGACATTGGTTATGAACAGCATAAAACACTTAGCGTGACTTCAGTATTACTAAAAAGTCATTATGTATCTCACATGTTAGGGAACTATTGCTTTATAACTAAAATTGAACCAATTATGCTAATAATTGATATTTGCTCCTATGTTATTAGTAATGACTAATATTGAGGACAGTTAAAAACAGGTTCTATATTATATAAAAACTAGTGACCTGGTGCACAGATTCGTGCACATTGAAAGGAAATTAATTAGAAGGTGGATGGTGGGGTGGGACCAGGCAAGATGGGCTGGACACGCCCTGGAACCAACCTCCTGCAGTCCCTCCCCAGCTGGCCATACCTGGGTGGTACCATGGCTCTGTGGAGTGAGCAGGGTCCCTCTGGCAGGTGGGGTCCCTCAGCCTGACCTGCAGGGATCGGTCGAAACCACCTCTCTAAAATCCCCCGAGGGGTCCCAGAGTGCAAGAGGGCACTCTGCAAAGTTGCTGTCATCCAGGGTGTAGAATGCAAACACAAGTGTGCAATAAACCAGATTCAGGGCTGACAGTGCCCCAGCAACAACATAATCCATTGCTGAAGGTGGAATCGCATGGCCCGGCGAGGAATCGGGCTCCACCACTGCCAAATCACTACAGCTAGGTGGCTCCTTCATTGAGCGTCTGCCCCCTGGTGGTCAGTGCATGTCATAGTGACCAGCTGGACAGTTGGACACTTAGCATATTAGCCTTTTATATATATAGATTCTAATTGATAAGTTGCAACTTCACTCTAAACTTCCTCCTCCATGTGAGCCACTAATGCAAGGGTCAGTAAACTATGCTCCACAGGTCACATCCAACATGCCACTTGTTTCTGTAAATAAAGTTTTCTTGGAAACAGCCACACTCATTTCTTTACATATCATCTACAGCAGCACTCATGCTATATCAGCAAACTTAAATAATTGAGACAGAGATCATAATGATCCACAAGGCCTAAAATATATACTACCTGGCCCTTTATAAAAAGAAAATGTTTGCCACCCCCTGCATAAATGTATCTCTCACCTTAGTTGGAAGGCCTTGCCCTACAGAGGCAACTGTATATCTTGGGCTGACATTGAGGGCCTGACTTACTTGGCCCCAAGTGACTTCCCATTTTTCTTTTGCATAAAGCCTCTGCTCTAACCAAGGTAACCCAATCTCTTTTCTACTTCTTGCAAATAAAAAGGTCTCCCCTTCCCCTCCCCAGCATACAACTAGCAACAGTGGCCCTAATTAATTCACAATGATATTCCCAGATCCTTGCCTCTCAAAACATGGTCCATGAACCAGCAACCCCGACATCATCTAGGCACTTGCTGGAACTGCAGAATCTCAGACCCCAACCCAGAACAACTGAATCAGAATCTATATTTTAACAAGATCCTCAGATGACTTGACACACTGATCTAGAGCAGTGCTCTCCAACAGAACTTTCTGCAATGATAGGAATGTTCTCGCTGCCATGGCCAATATGGTAGCTACTCGCCACCTGTGACTATCAAGCAATGAAATT